ATTTTACGTTTGGAGTGAGAACGACGGCTGAGGACGAAGTTCATATTGTTCAAACCACAGCCGCTCCTCTCGCCTATTACGAATCATCGTCCCCCAATCTGAAGGAAAGAAGTTTTAAAGTCAGCGACAGGATGAAATATAAGAAATATATTCTAAGACCTTTTCAAAACTATGTCGTTCCCCCCCCGAAAACGCAATATCTCATCGTCACAACCCAGAAGAGTCTCTTTCTCGTCGATCGGTGCTCGTACTCGCTTTGGAAACAATTGAAAGAGGAGATTTCTTTCCAATCGCCGATGATGTTTCAAGAAAAAGAAGAAGAAAACCCTCCGCCACCTTTACCCATCCCTTCCTTAGATGATAAGAGGAGCTGGACCAAACCGTCATGGCCCGAAACAAAATCGACCCGGCAACGGAATGAAATTGAAGTCATCACAATTGAAGATGAGGAGGAAGAAAAAAATTACCTCTTAAAAAACGGTCGACTTACCGGAACCTACCTGGCGTGCAAGATCCGCTTCAGAATCCAGAAGCTTCTTCTTCTTCTTCTTCTTCCCCGACTTGTTCAAACAGGCAGACCTCTTTTGGACTCCTCACAGACAGAACCTCTTCCAGTATCCTCTTCTTCTTCTTCTTCTCCTCCTCCAACCTGTCCCGACATCGTAGAGGTAGAATGTCAGCCGGGTAAACAAGTTCCAACAGGTCCAGAAATCATGGAGGCAGAATCACAGCCGGGTTCACAAGTTCCAACGGGTCCAGAAATCGTAGAGGCAGAATTTCAGCTGGGTTCACAAGTTCCAACGGGTCCAGAAATCGTAGAGGCAGAATTTCAGCCGGGTAAACAAGTTCCAACGGGTTCAGAAATCATGGAGGTAGAATCGCAGCCGGGTCCAGACATCCTAGATCCCTCCACTCATCCCAAAGAGACTCCAAGTGTTTCAAGACAGCCTTGTGAGGATCCAGCCCTTCCCGTATGGAATGATTATATGGACTTACAAAATTTGGTGCAACAGGAAGGAGAAGAAAATAATCATACGGATGGGTGGGTCAAAGACTGTTTAGATCATTTAACCTCGAATGAAATTGAACTGTTATGGAATTGCATTTCTGAAATCACATCGGAAATGGGATAAAAACCAAAAAAAAAAAAAAACAATTTTTTAATAACAAATTGGAGGAGGGTCATGATGTCAATTTTTAAAAAAAATATTATATAGAGTCCAATCTTGGTGGTTCACTTCAGTTTTCCAGCATGAGGTGATCCACGTTTCCCGAAATATGGATCCCATTCCAAGAGAGATTGTGTAGAGCCTTCACTTCAGTTCTTTTTTTTATATACCAAGAGGAGAGGGTCCCCAAAGGGTTACCCATGTCCAAAGAGAGAAAGTGTAGAGCATTCATTTCAGTTTTTTTTCCAAGTTTAGGGGAGGGAGGTCTCAAAATGACACCCCCCCCATTTTCAAAGAGAGATGGTGTAGAGCGTTCATTTCTGTTTTTTTTTCCAAAGTTAGGGAGTTTTCAAATGGCTACACATTTCAAGAAAGAGAGAGAGAGAGAGAGAGAAGGGTAGAGAGCGTTCATTTCAGTTTTCCAACATTAGAAGGTCCCAAAATACCTTCTGAATTCAAAGAGAGATCGTGTAGAGCGTTCATTTCCAGTTCTCCAAGATCAGAAGAAGAGGGTCCGCTTTTCCCAAAAGGGCTTTCCGCATTCAGAGACAGCGAAATGCAGACTTCAGTTTTACTCCCTCCCCAAGAATAGAGGGTCCCAAAATGGCTTCCCATTTCAAAGAGAGAGGGAGAGGCGTTCATTTCCATTCTCCAAGATAGGGTCGTCTGCTTTTTCCCAAAATGGCTTCCCAATTCCCAAAAAGAGAGAGAGAGAGAGTAAAAGGGTGTGTAGAGCGGTCATGTTCATTCTCCAAGATAGGGTCGTCAGCTTTTTCTCAAAATGGCATCTCCCCATTCAAAAAGAGATCGTAACCAATTTTTTCCAGTTTTTTCCAAGATGGGGGGGGGAGAAGAAAACCTAGGATGGAATAACACGACACACAGAGAGAAAGAGAAAAAAAAACGCCATCTTGTCATTTTCTGATAGGGTACCGGTGTTCGAATACTTTTGTGACCGACTGTACCAAGCTTTTCATATACGCTGATGATATCTATGCGCATGTTACTGTTAGGAAGGACAGCCGGTATTCCTGCTTACAAGACACTCTCAAGAAGATCCTTAGCTGGTCTGCTGAAAACAAGGTTTCTTTCTCCTTCGAGAAATCAACACTAATTGATTTTTCAAGAGGAAGAAAGAAATACTCCTTCCCCATCAGAATAGGTGATCTCAGTATTGGATGGAAAAAAGAGCATAAAATACTTGGCTTTATTTTCGAACACAACCTAAGTTGGCGAGCACACGGGGCTTATCTAGTTAAAAGATTAAATAACACTTAATCCACTTAATTAAACTTGATCAAAATCCTCTCCCACCCAACTCAAGGAATGAGAACAAAAAACTTACTAAAGATCATCCAGCAAATCATGATTCTCCAACTCATATACGGATGTGAAATCAGGTGGGGAGACTATCTCTCCTCCCAAAATAAGTACGTTATATACATCAATAAAGCGATTAGAAAACCCTTTTGGGTATGTCATTCTGCTCCAACGACGTTATTAGGAGACTTGCAGCTATTCCGCATTACAATAAATTAAAAAAATGGCAAAGAACATTGTCCATCATAAATCAAAAATTTCGGGGAGTCGCTTACTTTTTCCGCGCCACTAAAAGCGGTAGGTTTAAGAAAGAAAGAAAGGATTTAAGAACTGTTCTTGACAGCTATGAATCTAAATGGATTTTAGATAATAACGTTGTCCGCCAAAAGAAACGGATTCCGCCTTGGATAAACTTTAGTAAATTTTGTAACACCGATTTAAAGAATCTTCACGATTTCGTCACTGATTACGCTCCTTTTATCAAAAATTTGACTGCGGATGTTAAAGAAGAAAACGTATGGGGCTCAGAACGGTTCCAAAAACTTGGACAGGAACTAGTTTTTGGAATAACAGAATCTACAAAATACCGTTAACAGAGCCATCAAGATTGTAAGAAATGCTTCTATAAACACCGCGGAAGTTTCATCAATTTCAATTTGGTACACTTTGAAATATCTAGCTAACCTTTCCGAAGCGACGATAATTTTCACTGACAGCCTTGCGGCAGTAGAAGCTATTGCCTCCTTCGAAGACTCAAATAACAACATAATTTAGAATATTCGATATGAAATTTACAAAAACATGCCAAATAGTAAGATTATAATTTGTTGGATACCTAGTCACAAAGGCTTAGAGATCAATGAAAGGGCAGATTTTTTGGCTAAACAGGCGGTAAATTCACACAATACTCCAATCCTCCCCAGGATATCAAAAAAGAAATTAAGGAAGACAGGGAGGGGGGAAATTGATACCATCTGGCAGAATACCAAGTACTATTGTTATTTTAAAAATGTTTTAAATTCCGAATACTTGAATATTAATTGACCCGACTCAAGGAAAATGGAATGTAAAATTAACAAAATCCTCACTCGAAGTATCCTCACGGACTACCTTAAATTCAAGTTAAAACTTTCAAGCACAGACTGAATGATTGTAAAAAATACAATCATCTAAGGAACTATATCGCCAAATTCTGCAATAAAGAAAACATTCAATACGTCCTTCCTGCAGAATGAGACACAATCCGCAAGAGAAGAAGAGGAAGAATGACCTTCCTTGTTTGCATTAGCTGTACATAAGTCACGTGATCCCTGAGGTCATCTGCATTGTCTGTATATAAAAACTTATGTATATACTTATGTATATAAAAGGTATACATAAGTCACGTGATCGATGAGGTCATCCGAATGTATCTCATTAGTTAACAATTCCAATCTAAGAATTCCGAAGTTGGGTCGTTTACTCGCCAACTTCTTCTAACTTACCCAGCCTCACGGACTGGAGGAAACGGCGTTCGCCAAAGTCCTCCCCTCCTTTCTTCTTGCTCAAAAGCAAAATTGCTACAGAATTGCTACAAAGCCTACAGACCGTTCTTCTGCTGTTTGCTCCGATTGGTTAAAGCAGGAAACGTAGGGTTACAGAATCTAGTGCTTGGCGACTTTTGGTTCATCGCCATTACAATTTGTATTTGAGCGTCGTGTACCAAAAAGTACCCAGCGGAGAAACCGCAGCTTAGCAGTAACGAGCGCGGGAAAAATTCTCAGACTTCTAGGTCGCCGGTTCTATCCCCGCTGGTTGCTTTTAAAAACTCTGCTGTGCATGGATTTGTTTTTAATTTAACTTTATTGATTGACTTTGTCATTATTTGTCTTTTCGCCTTCGGATGCGGTGTTAAAATTTTAAACGCCTTTATTTTCTCTATTTTTGTTAATGTTAATTTTTTTCTTATTTTTATTTACTGGTTTGTACTCTTTGTAGTAGGTACCAGTAGCAAGATTACGATCCAAGATCCCGAAAAGCGTTTCAATAAAAATAGCGCATAATGGAATAAAATATAATTTTAGTTATACTTACTCATAATTTACGTAAAAATAATAGATATCCGACGCCCTTAAATGTTTACTGAATGTTTTCATTTGGTTAATTTTTTAATATTCCTTTATTTGTATAAATTAATGCGCTATGGAAATTTACACAACAGACTCTTTCTGACAGAAATGATGAAAAAGTGCTAATGCTATCTCAAAGTAAACACCTTTTTCTTGTAAAACAATTACGTATTTTTAAAAGTTTAAATTGAAATATAAATAAACTATTAATAAGATCAGTAGGTTATTTAAAATATGTTCCACACAATTTCTCTAAGCTTTCATTCATAAACTAAAAAAATATCGAATGAAATAAACGCTGTTTCCATTTGTTTGCCGTTAATTACTACGCCTAACAGGGCGATAACTCGCCATTCCAAAAATGACCGCCAAGCAGATAATTCCTCCAATGAGAGCAGCCCGTAACGAAATAGTCTGTAGGCTTTGTGAATATGCGCGCGAAACTAATTTTAATTTCGCTGTTTCTATGGGAACTGATTCCTCCATTATTTTGTAAACACACGATTTGCTTAAAATTTTTGCCACGTATATTATATTAGATGCATTTTTGATTTTGTACGTCATTTTTGTTCAAATTTCTTATATTTCTATTATTAAAACTTTTTCTTAATTTATAATGTTTTCTGTTTCTTATTGTCATGACTGTTAAATTATTTCTGTAATATCCAATTAAACATCTTCCATTAACCAACTTGCGAGCTTTTTTGTAATATGAAGAAGAACTAAGTAATGACTGAATAATAGTTAGGAAGTTAGCGATTTGTACGGGCATTTTTTAACTTTGCTTACTTATTTTTACATGTAGATTTTATCAAAAATCTTTAATATTTATGCTTTCGTATTGCGTTTTTAGGTAAATTTGTTGAATTTCAAATTGGTTTTAGTGCTTCTTCTGTGAATTAGTTTAATTAATTAATTATAGCAATATCCTTAAAAGAATTACTAAAGGATATTGGTTTAAAGGCAGAGATGATTTCATGGAGAATTTTCCAAAGAAAACAAACCCTTATATTTATTATTTATTGGAATACAGGGAGAATTATTAAAACAAAACTCCATTCAGTCAGTTCATTCCACTGGGCTGCAATGTTTTTTGGTTTCAGCTACTTAGCCACTTACTGTAACTTTTATATGAAAGATAAAAATTTAATATTTTAGCCATTTTGAAATTTATATTGATTTATGGTTAAAGTGCCTTAATGAAAACACCAATAGAAAGGTATTTATAATGCTTTTACTTTCATATTTAAATATCCAGATTTTAGTAATTTTAGGAGATATGCATACATCTTTTGCAATACATTTCTGTCTTTATGGCCTACTTGAAAGAGATTTATCATCTAAAAATTATGCTAAGTTATTGCCAGAGACAGAAATCACCTGTAATTATTTTTTAATTATTCAAAATTTTTTATTAGAATAAATTTTAACAGCACTAAAGATGTTTAGTCAGTTATTTATATTCAAGATTTTGTGACTGCTTGGTATCTCTGGTATACCAGTATACTGGCTGACTTTTTTGGCGTGACACAATTTTATATTTTAATTAGAATAAATTTTAACAGCACTAAAGCTGTTTAGTCCATTGTTTATAATCAATATTTTGTGCCTGCTTGGTATATCGTATACCAGTATACTGGCTGACTTTTTCAGCTTGACACAATTTTATTTTTTTTTTTTTTTTTTTTTTTTTTTTTTTTTTTTTTTTTTTTTTTTTTTTTTTTTTTTTTTTTTTTTTTTTTTTTTTTTTTTTTTTTTTTTTTTTTTTTTTTTTTTTTTTTGTTTTTTTTTTACCTTAACTGGTGTTAAAAAATTGTACTGCAATATCTAACAAAGAAAAATATGCAACTTAGAAATATTTTCAAGTTAAAAAAAGGTAATGGAAGAATAAATTTATACATAGATTAAATTAAAAAAAAAAAATAATTGTAAGATATATATGGGCTGGTAAAAAAATAATGAATTTTCATTATTACACTGAAACCATTCAACTATAGATTACAATTTAATCCTGAATATTTAAAATATTGCATTTATTTATTTAAAATATTATAAATATGAAAAATACATTAATGGCTACATTCAATGGCTTTATTCATTTTATGGTGAAATTTATCAGTAGAGTACCATAACATCAAAGAAATATCCTTAAATTTGGAAATTTTATTTTTAATAGAAAACATAGGTAAAGGTCATTGATCTTATTTGATTTTCTTAGAAGTGAAAAATATTAACTATCATTTAACAATGCAGTGTTATTCTTTAATACTTTACAAAATAATACTAAACTGTTAATATATTATTTTCTGCCTTCTAGTTAGTTGATGAAAATATTTAGGTATGTCTAGAAAATCATGTCACACAGAGTATAGACTTGTGAAAAACAACTTCAGAAATAAGAATATGGTAAGTTTGCAAGCTTGTTATCTTTTAATTCAAAATAATATTGACTATTGTATTGGCAATTCTGTAAAACAGCTATTATGTTGTTACAATGTTGTTTACTATGAGATCACAAATTTCTTCAAAATTTACATAACTTTAGAATCTATACTCATAATTCATGGCTTTCAAACTTAAGAACATGTTAAACCTTCCATTGCATTAATAGACTTCAAAACATTTGAAAGATTTAGTAAGTATCCTCAAAATTAGCATTATTAATATTTTGACTCGAGTACTTAAGTGAAAATATAATTAATATTTTCACTTGATTTAGGTATTAAAAAAATTGAATTTATTTTGTGCAGTTATTATGGCTTAATAATTCAGTTTTATCTAGTTAACCTATGACTTAAAATATCAAAATTATTAGTTAGAAAAGATTAAATAAGTTCAAACATCACTGTAAAAGGTGAATTAAAAGGCAGAAAATTCAAAGATGTAGAAATAAAACAAAATTAAATAGATGTAAATGTACAAGTAGTCTAAAATAAATTATGTGCAAAGCTCTTTATAATGCTTATAATTTTTATTTCAATATTAAATTGTGAGGAGGAGATATTTATGCCTTTGGGTAAAATAGCATAGCATTTTTGGTATACAACAGCATAATTTCTGAATTTGTTATTAATCATTATAATTATTTTGTAAATTTGTAAGTTTAAAGAGATAATTATGATGCATTTTCTGTTATTATTTCTGAATAAAGTAAAAAAAAAAAAAAAAAAAAAATATTAGGCAAATAAATATACCATATTTACTTGTGTAGTTTTGCCTTTTTTTTTTACTAATTTTAAGAGAGGAATATTATTCAAATAATTTAATTTCTTAAGGATGTAGTTATATTTAGAACATAATAAGATCTAATAAGAAATGAAAACTAATCATGGATAAACTACCAGTAATTATCACAGTATTATTTATTTAAAAGAAACTTAACATTCTAGTAAGAATGTATAGTAACATTAACATTATAATACCTGATAAGATGTCTTCATTTCTACTTCCTTGTATCTTGAATCTTGCCTGCTCTTTGTTGTCTACTTCCTAGACCTCAAATCATTCAGTGTTTCTGGAAGTTCTGTCTGTCATCTGCTACAGCTTGCAAGTCATCACCATTGTCATCGTCTTCATCATTGGTTAGTCTGTTTTCTCGTGTGCAATGATCTTTAGAACCATCAAGAGCATTAGATGTCTCTGTTTTCTTCAAGCTCTTCACTATTATTGCTTCATCAGTTAGAGCTCATACACCAAATTCCAGGAGCAAATTAGTTAATAATCTGGAAACAATCACTTTATTGTCATTTCACTTCTAAATTAACCACTATATGTATGAATCCATTTTAAAATTTAGAGTAGCTTGCCAAATGCCTTGATAAAGGGAAATAATATATGAATATTAAAAAAAAATTAGAACCTAGGTGGAAAATACACAAGTGAAAATGGTATATCAAATGCTTTACATTATATTTAATATATAATGTGCATCATTTCATATTTCTCCAATAAAGGCTAATTTGTGTTTTTGTTTCATTGCTGTTTAACTTACATTCCTATAAAATGAGCATTTCTTTTGGATGTGTATCTGAGATAACCTTGACTCATTTGCCATGAATCTCATAGATATAATCAGTTTGCATAGGTATCTAGATATAATCAAATGAACGAAATGGGAATACTCCAATCAAAAATTCCAACTAAGTAAAAGCTAAGAATATATTTGCTCCATAATCAAGATTATTACTGACTTGTTTGGTATGTAACTAAAGACATGTTTTAAATTGTTTGAAATGCAAACAAAAATTAAGAAAATCGATATAAATTCAAAAGCAGACTAAAACTATAACTTGCAACCTTTTCAGTGTTTATTAAAATTCTATCAGTTTTCTTTTCTTCAGTAATAAAAGCGAATAAAGTAATTTTTAAATTCTAATATTTTCTTGTTTCTTTTTTTTACTTAGAATACTTATAGCTATCCTGCTTTGAGAACTGTAGATGTTACCCCTGGTGACAGAAAAGAAGTGGAACTTTTATCGCAAGGCTTTGCAAGGAAACTATTGTAAGTAAAATATTTTATAACTTCTTTATTAAGTGAAGGAATACTAAAATTATAATATGTTATTCAGATTTTATGTACATTTTGCTGTTTGAAGTTAGTTTAAATTCTGAATTTTTCTATCCTTTGCTCTCATGATACATAATATGTACACATTTGTATATTATCTTGTAAACATTACATGCAGAAGATTTTCTTCATCACTGTTACTTTTAAGTTCTTTGATTTTTCTTAATGAGTAGTTTAGATAATCTATACTTTTATAAATAGTTTTTATAAATATATGTACATTTTGCTGTTTGAAGTTAGTTTAAATTCTGAATTTTCCTATCCTTTGCTCTCATGATACATAATATGTACACATTTGTATATTATCTTGTAAACATTACATGCAGAAGATTTTCTTCATCACTGTTACTTTTAAGTTCTTTGATTTTTCTTAATGAGTAGTTTAGATAATCTATACTTTTATAAATAGTTTTGTTTTTTGTTTACCTTGAATTATTAAATAAAATCATATAACTGAGGCTCCATTTAGTTTGTCAATTAAAAAATACAACACCTTTTTTTTTTGGCATCCACCTGAAAAGTGTTCACAAAACAGCCCACTATGTTGCCAAAATAAGCAACTCATAACATTGCCAAAATGTATTCACATGGCAACCCAGGTATGCAGGCATGCATAATACATGAGAACTGATTTCCACTTTTCAATTCAACAGTCATATTTCTGATTATATCTGATTAGATTTGATTGTCTGTCCTTGCATTCAAGGATCCCCCCCCTTTTTTAGAAATTATAATTGCACTGTAGATTTTTCTGGCAGATTAAAAAGAAAGTATTACATTTCTTCAGAAATATACATTTTGTCCAAAAGTAAAAAATGCAAAAATTCATATTCCACGAAGTTGTGCTTTATAAATGATCGAATTTGATGGATCAAAATTTGTGTACCAATGCCAAATTTATGCATTTTTCTGATATTCTTTTTAAGTGAAAACAGATTGCTGTGTATATGGAGAAAACAGTAGTGTACACTGTGCAAAACTGGGCACAGTGTTAAATTGAACACCGTGGTAACCCTATTACTTTCTTTGAAAAAAAAAAAAAAAAAAAAAAAAATTGAACTTAACACTGTGCCCAGTTTGGCACAGTGTTAAGTTCAATTTCTTCAGGTCTTTTATACTTTTTTAATGCTAAAATTGGTTGCTGTGTATGTGGTGAGAACACCACACAAGAAAAGGTGTTTTATTATGAATGATTTTTGTGTTTTTAGTTTTGTTAATTGGCTGCTGTTTTATTTAATTCTGAATGCAATGCCATTTTTTAAAAAGCTGTTGTCTTTTCCATCTTAGTTTGGTGAAAAATTAGTCGGCAATGATTGGCGGCAATTTGGAGAGTGCAGTAAATCAGGAAATATTGAAAATTCATATGAACTTCTAAAGTTCTAACAAAATATTCTATTGAATGTTTTCCACAATAGGAAAAATATAATTATAAAATTTTCGGTTGATCTTTACATTCCGGTAACTTGGCGATTTTTTGGCGAAAATTTGGCGACCAACTCCCCTACAGCAACCCTCTATTTTTTTCCCCGCCGCTTGGTCTTCACGAAGTAAAGACATGTTCTTTTTTCTATCTACTGAACACTTCTTCCAAAATTCTACTAGCGAATTACACTTATGCTAGAAATTTTATCAAAACAAAAATGCTTAATCATGACAAATATTCCACTGCAAAATCGGAAAAAAGGCACAATACCATACACCTTACGCGTTTTCAAAAACACATACACATATACCATGTACACGCCGACTATTTTACTTAAAAAAAATCCCAGAATTGCACAAAAATGGCATTGCGACATCTTCACTATATCCATGTACACTGCTTTTTCTCATAAATTCGAAAAATTTCACGAAAATACATGACAATTTTCTCAATCTTTAAACCCGGGTAAAAAAAAGACATATATGAAATACCTGATCGCGAAAAAGTATTTCCCTTTACAAATATGAACATCCACATATAAAAATAAATAAAATATCCAAAACTTTTACCTCTAAATCATCTATTACATTATACACGTCACCAACAAATTCATAATGAAGCATTACAAATATTAGTATCAAAAATTTAACTATTCCATGCAGTTTATTTCAACTTAAACGTAAACCAAATACAAGAAAAATTCACAAAATAACTATCATTTCATTAAATATCACTGAACCATGTACACGTCGACTTATTTTACTTAAAAAAAAAACATCCCAGAATTCACAAAAATGGCATTGTGCACATCTTCACTATATCATGTACACTGCTTTTATCTAAATTAAAAAAATTTCCAAAAAAACATGACAATTTTCTCAATCTTTAAACCCGGTAAAAAGAAAATATATGAAATTACCTGCTCGCGAAAAAAAAAGTATTACCCTTTACAAATATGAACATTCCACATATAAAATAAATAAAAGATTCAAAAAAAACCCTTAAATCATCTATAATTATACACGTCACCAACAATTCATAATGAAGCATACAAATATTTAGTATCAAAATTTAAATTTTTTCCATGCACGTTTATTTCAATTAAACGTAAACCAAATTCTACAAGCATAAAATTCACAAAAATAACTATCATTTCATTAAAATATCACTGAACCATGTACACGTCTCGACTTATTTTACTTAAAAAAACATCCCAGAATTGCACACAAAAATGGCATTGCGACAACTCTCACTATATCCATGTACACTGCTTTTATCTCATAATTAAAAAAATTTCACGAAAAATACATGACAATTTTCTCATCTTTAAACCCGGTAAAAAGAACATATATGAAATTACATGATCGCGAAAAAGTATTTACCCTTTACAATATGAACATTTCCACATAAAATAAGTAAATATCCAAACCTCCTTTAAATTCTATCCATTATACACATCACCAACGAATTCATACATGAAGAATTACAAATATTTATTATCAAATATTAAATTATTTCCATGCACATTTTCAACTTAAACATACACCAAAGCCCAAGGTAGAAAATCACAAAATAACTATCATTTAATAAAATATAATTAAATTCAAAAAAACCCACTTAAAATACATGAGCAAACATTCAATTAAAAATTACTTACAATCCTAATTACTAAACGAAATCATTGCTAATAACAATTTCCCAATAATACCCAAATTCCTTCCACCTTACATTTCCAACACTGCATAAAAATATTAAAAATACTAACTTACCTAATTCTTCAGAATCATTACGTGGCGGATACACTTTTCTTCATCTTGAATCTTTAAAATCATACTTATCTTTCAAAGCAAGATACCCAGGTTAAATAAATAACATAATAAAACAGGGTTTATTCTCTCTCACACAACCTTAAAAAAAACATTTCTATCCTTTTCAATACCACTAAAACCATTCGAATTCACTTTACTGACGGCCATGGGATCCAAAAATTCACAAACACTATTTCACACAACACAGAATAAAGCCAAATACAGATTTTTTCCCGATTTCCCCCTTTTCGATTAAAGAACCGTAATTCGTCCATAATATCACATGACATATCCCATGATCTCTCATTTCCCCCACACAAAATAATGGTAATCGGAATCAGTACTGCTCACATTATTACCAAAGTCCCAGGTAGTAACCTTTATCGCCTCCAAAATGTCGCCAAACTACCAGTTACCGTAATGTAAAGATCAACCAAATTTTCCTTAATGTGAGAAATATGTCTTATGGGTATTCTGGTGCCTTATAAAGAAAATCAAATATAATATCTCTCGTCAGAAATATCAAGTTTTCACATATTTGTAGCTTTCTATAGAAAATTGTGTACTTCCTGACACTTTGCATTCTTTTTTTTTTTTTTTTTTTTTTGGACATGTTGTAGAACTGCCATGCGTTTAATATGTTTTCAAGTATACAATCCCATATATGCTTGTACCACACATGTTTGAGCAAATGTGCATTTACATACTTTTTTTTTAACTGTCATTATGTGGAATGGTAGTAACTGGCTGTAAAAATTTAAATATTGGCCATGAAGATTTTGTTTCTCATATCAATTTTTCTTTTTTCTAAAGTGCTTCTTATTATTATATATGAACATAATAGTACCTATACACTGTAAAGACAGCCAAATAAATATCTTTCCCTATTTCACATAGTTGCAAAAAGCTGACAACTTTTTGTGAAGGAGAGGCAGATAATCAGAAAATACTAAAAATTTTTTGCATTTTGTCCTGTAACAGTAAGGATCCATTCCATTTTCTGTCATAGTTAATAAAGAATCAAATTTGATAAAATTAGGAGATAGTCTCTTTCAGTTCAGTTTACTCCTGTTTACAAAATTTATTAATTTTACTTTAATAATTCCTATCTATATTTGTACATCCACTGTGTTAACAATACTAGTCATTGTGACAATGGGAAATTTAAACCTATTCTTTTTTTTTTTTTTTTTTTTTAATAATCTTATTAAATTTCCTCTTTTCCTCATTGCAGGCTTCCTAAACCAGGTCCAAAGAAAGTAATAGGGTTTATGAAGCAAGAGAAGCTAGAACAGCTACAGAAGGCCGCAGCTACAAAGATTAATGAAGAAGAAGCAGCCAAAAAAGCAGAACAAATTAAACTTAGAGAACAACTTCAGGTATTCATATAACTTTAGCTATTAAACATCAGTCTATTTTTTTGTGTCTATTTAGAATTAATGTAATATTAATCAATATCATGGGGTTGTATTATAATAATAGACATATTTCTATTTTCAATAAGTATGCAAATATTGAGTAGATATTCAGGTATTCAGGCATTTATATTAATTGCTTTGAAAGTGACCATGAACTACCACACAGGAGAGTTTTCTAAATGTGTAGAAATCTGTATGTACATTTAAGATTTTCTTTAGAAACTATGTATTAGCCTTTAAAGAATGGAACTGTGAAAGAAATGGTAAATGATTAGTTTTGGGTTGGCATAAATAAGGGTATGCAAGGAATGCAGTCGCATAGAGGCCCGAAGTCTTAGGGGGTCCATGAATGTCCTGCTGAACTACATTTACATATTTAAACTTAAAACATGTATAAAAATCATGTATTCAAGTAGTTATTGTACCAAAAAGTTTTCTTAAAAGAAAGGGGGAAAACTTTACCATGCATATTTTCTACAAAAATTGTATGTTCAAATAGTTTTCTTTATGGAATTTATGATAAATATGTTTTATATTTAACAAACATATCATTTACATTATAAAAGTTCTTATTTATGACTTGTATATTATTACATAAATTATGTTCGTAAGCTCTGTTGATCACAGAGTGCTATATATTAGTGTAATTTCTTTTTTGTACGTTTACCTATCATGTTGTCTGTCAGTTTATAACATAACCAGTTATTTACCAGCTTGCTAAATTAAGCAAAAAAAAAAAAAAAAACTTGGATTGGCGCAGATTTTATATAGAAACTCGAAATATACTTGCATGTAAAGCCTACTGGATTTTATTTAAAAATCCCCGCAAATCTAGACTTCTAAATAGACTTTCTTCCCCCCCTTTTTTAAGCACAGTAAATTTATTGGGGTGGCAGGAAAATTTTTTGCGTAGGGGCCCAAGAGTTCTAGCTGCACCACTGGTCCAGGGATTTACTATTAATTTTCTCCACCATTTCGTTTAACCACTATTATACTTAAATTTAATACAGTCAAAAGTCGTTAATCCGGACTCGTCGGGACTTCGGTTATTACGGATTATCGATTTTTCCGGATTATAGATCATCAGTTTAAATCGCGTAAGATGGCATGCAGAAAATTCTAAAATTAAAAATATGAAAACCGTAATTTATGAATAAAGAACAATTATGATCTAAAGGGTATCAAAATTTACAAAAAAAAAAAAAAAAAAAAGCTTTAATATTATTTTGTTTTACTTATTAAACATTTCTTTCAAGTATGTTGTTAAAGTTGCTTCGTTTTATGTGATAATACTTCTCTTTAATTCTATAAAAGACATAATTTTTGTTCAGTTACAAAGTTCCGCTGTTCAAGTCCCGTTAATTGCTGTGGAGGAGATACCGACTAACTTGTCAATCGAAATTTTTCGTTTTCACTAACCTCTCTGTCACATTCTTCATGTCTTATCCATTTTTTAGCAATTCCACTTTTGTTTGATGGGCATCGAAAATACTCGGTGCCCATCAAACAAAAACGATCCTTTGGGAGCTACAGAATCTAAAATTCTACTTGACATATCGAAAGTTCAAGTTTAACTTTATAGTATTGATCTTATAGTCTGCAAAAAATAATAAGCCGGATCCAATTCGAAAATTAAGGAACAACGCAATCATCAACATTAACTGATTTAGATAATTAGCTAATTTAGCTTATACGTCCGTTTATACATAAAACGCGCATGCAAAAACGTATTCTGCGCTTGCGCACACGCAAATGCGCAGTCGTAAGAGGTCTTACTCGCACGCGTAAACGCCTATGCGCATGTGTCAACGTGGTGCATGCGCAGAAAGTTTTTAGCTTTGAGGTCCGGATTATAGATCATTCCGAATTATGGGTGTCCGGATTAACGACTTTTGACTGTATAGCAGGCCTTTATTGTAAATTTACTGTGGTGATCGAAACTAAACATATTGTCTTATTTTTAAGATAGTGAATATAGTATGTAACGATGTAGGGCAACATTTAATACTTGAGCTTTAATTATAAGGATATACTACTTTTAAAGTTTTTGTGATTTTGCAACAAATTTTATGGGGCATAAATGCAAACAAAATGATGTTTAGTAAAAAAAAAGTTAAAAAGCAAAAAAGGCTGTGTAGTTAATTTTATTAATAAAACTAAACATTGATAAGAAGAATTGAAGAAAGACTGAAAAAAGGGGGCTATCAACACTATGGAAGCAGTTACATACAGTGTCAATCAAAATTTTTTAATATGTTATAAAAAATGGCAACTCTAAATATTAAAGTAATTTTAAATATTACATTTAAAAAATATTCTGAGGAGGGAAAAAAAAAGAACCCATGCACTGCATCTCTTTTTTTTTTACAGAGAATTTCCTTGATTTATAATTTAGAAAGAGCAGGAGGCTCGAAGAGTAGAATTTGAAACTTGGGATTTAATGAGGAAGAAAAATGAGAAACTTACTGAATTAGAAGAAGAAGCTAAGCAGAAAATGGAATATCTGAGAGAAAAAGCCAATGAAGCTATTAGAGAGCAGAATGAGGAAATAAAGGAAATTAACAAGGTATTCACATTTGTTGACGTTTACATTTTTGCAGTGCAATATAAATAAGGTAGAATTTACGTATCATAAGTAAAAATAACACTTGAATTTTTGGAAATGGTAAATAGTTTCATCATCTTGTTCTTTATTTAATTATTCCATACTTTATTGTCCAAAAATTCTGTTAGAAGTACACAGAACATGAAGTACACAAAATATATAAGTTGGAGTCTGTCTTTATTTATATTATCTTACATCCTGATAATACTCCCAAAACTGAAAATACAATAAACAAACTTTGTTTTATAAACCTAATGTACACTGCTCAAAAAAAAAAAAAAAAAAAAAAAAAAAAAAAAAAAAAGGGACAGTCCTGTATCTCCCGATCTACTGGGCCGATTGACAAAATTCAAATTGCGTTCTTTATGTCTCAAAAGCGCGACTTAGGATATATATTAGATTTATATATAGTTTTATTCTAACATAGGTATTTTGACACAAAATCGGACTTTTCTGAAATAACATACCAATTTTTTTACATATTTCGATTCTACGACTCAAATTACGCCTAAATATGAAATTTTGTAAAATGTGGAGCGAAATTTACGGATAAATTCACAAATTTATGTTGGCACTTTTTTGTCAGTTTGCGCCAAGAATAGTTCACTTGGCGAACTTCTTAATATATGGCAACCTAGTTTCCTTTACCGTGAGAGGAAAAAAAGTCACCATCGTTCTTTTTCCAAATAATATTCTTTATATTATATTTTTATTATAACTTATTATTTTATGTAATTTTTTTCTTTTCGAATTTCATTTAATTGTTTAAGTTGCATGGTTGTTTTTCGAATAACTGTTTTAAAAATTTCTATTTACCTATTCGAACTGCGTAAATAAAGGTGTTGTAGCGTTTATTTTTTTTTTCAAATAGTTTTCTTTATATATATTTTTTGTCATAGTTATTATTTTAGGTAATTTTAAAATTCTTATACTTTATTTAATTGTTTGTTGTTGCATTGTCTCTTCAGATAATGTTTTTAAAAATTTCTATTTATTCCTTCGAATTGAGCATTTTAAATATATTTTAATATAAATTTTCCATAATTTGATTTTTATTTATTTGAATTGCGTTTTCTTTCGGAGGAATACTTTGTAACACAGACTACGATGCATTTAAAAAACTGCATATATTAAAAGAGAAAATACAGTAAAGCACAGTTAACACACCTTTCAATGTTCATTCAGAAAAGATATATATAAATAAGAGAGAATATTTAACTTAGAATTGCGACATTTTAACTTAGGATGACTTGCATACACTGCTTAAACAGTTTTAACATGTGCCCATTGATTTACACAATTTATCCTACATTTGGCTTCTTAAATGTTATTCATATTTTAGTAAAATATTTTATTTTTGAAATCGTAAGAATCAAATATCATAAGATTAAAAAGTTTTAAATTAAAAAAAAATACAAATGCTAAATTTTACGCAAAAATTTATTTTTCCTTCTCTTTTTCTTCAAGCTTTCTACTTTATTCTTGCTCTTTTTCTTTAGGCATTCCGCAAGTATATTAAAAAGCATCCAAATTTTCAAAATATCTTGATATTTCTGACAATCATTTTAAATAAAGTTATCGCCTTCCATTTCATAAAGGCCCACAAATGGCCTAGCGGTAAAAAGTCGCTGAACACTGGTAGTTCACTCCGGGGTTCGAATCCCAGTAAACGGGCTGGTTGCATAGGCGTTTTCGTGGATTTTCTCATGTGTACCGTGTATGCCAGCTGGTTTCCCTTAGAAAGTTCTTCACAAAGGCATCCTTCCTTTTAAGCAGATAGCCATGCTTTGACGTAACTTAATAATCCAATTCAATCCATTTCATCAATATTTGGTCAGAGCCTTTATCAGTCGTTAGAGGCTAAACATTTTGAAGGTATGAGATGTAAGGAAAGACTGGTTTAATCAAGAGGTTTTGGTTTATTTAATTATGACAAAGCACTCTAGGGCTATCTGCCTAAGGGAAGGGATGCCTTTGTGGAGGACTTCCTAAGGGAAACTGGCTCGCATACACGTTACACATGGGGAAAACGACAAAAATGCCCATGCAGCCAGCCCGTTCGCGGGATTCGGACCTCGGACAGAACTACCAGCGTTCAGCGACTTTATCGCTCGGCCGCTGTTTCATCAGGAAAACAAAATAAGATCTTTAGGTGACATCCACATACATCACTGGATAAACTCCTGAATCTTCAAATAATTCGAATGAGAAAATCATGGGATTCTCCATTTATGATACGATATGATGTTATATAACATGATTTAAATTTATACAACCATATAGTCTAAAACCAGTCGCGCTTCACTTTAATCTGCAATGATATCATTTTTGTCTTTTCTGTTAACTACAAGCTCAATTGATGGTATTTGCTGGTGTACACGTCCAAGTGTTTTTTCTTTGAACATCTAAATTCTTTGAAGTATCCTGAAAGTATATTCAAAAGCATCCAACTTTTTGAAACATCTTGGTATGTCTGACAGCCAAATTTCCCTGCAAATTTTTGCTTACTTTTCTCCTTAATTTATTCTTTCTTCTACAGTTTATTTTCAGTGCACCCACAAGAAATTAAGATTTTTCGATTGCTAGACTTCCATACATTTTGCATTCTTGTCAATTTTTTAAAATATCAATTCATGAATTACGTTTCAGACGAAGACAGCTTTTCATTTTCTAGTCATTTTAACTATAAATAAAGTTTAAAGCAAGTCCAAAGGATAAATATTTTAATTAAATTTTTTGATGAATGACAAAGAAATAAAACAGTCCAGCAGGGTTTATTCTGTACACGAGTAACCTGATTCTTATATCCGCTGAAACTGAATCTTGAAAACAATAAACATATTAAAGATCATGTTTTTTTATACAATCTATAAGGCGCGAGAGAAAAATTAGCTTCTTAAAACATTCTTTCTAAGAGGATTATAAAAGATTATATTATACAATTATATTTATTTTATATATTTTAAAGCTGGGACTTGAACCAAACTGTCAAATGTTTAAAGTTTAATTTACCATGGTGTTATAATTAAAGTTCAAATTTGAAATGGTCATAAAAGGAAAACTACTGTACCAAATGTTATCAAACTTGGGAATCGGGTAAAGGGGGTTATGAGAATTTATTTTTCGCGGAAAAAAAAAAAAAAAAAAAAAAAAAAGAGTTCAAAAAACTCACCACCAGGGGGAAAATGCGCTGCATACAAGATTGTTAAATGAAATAAGACACGAAAAAATCTGTTTAAAATGTGTTAATATTTCCGAAACGTGACAAAGCATGTTCAAGGTAGCGTCCAGCATTTTCCGAAAGCAAGTTAATCCTGTTACTGCATTCTCAAAGCAGCTCTTAGCATATCAGGAGGAATGTTACGGACATGTCATTTTTTCATTTCTCCCAAATTGTTTAGATTATCACCATAAACAGTGCTTTTGAGAAAACCCCATAGCTAAAAGTCACAGAGGTTGAGGTCTGGTGGGAAGAGAGGAAGTGTTGGCCTATAAGACGTTCATTCGTGAAATGTTGCCTAAGTAACTGTGCTACACACGTGAGGTGGGGCCCAGCCCTGCATAAAAATCAGAGTATCTAAAATGCCACGTTACTGCAGTTCATGTATCACGAAACATTTTAACATTGACTCTAAGTGAGCTGCAATCACAGTGGTCCAGCTGTCGACTGCTCTTTAGAGAAAAATGGTTCAATTATAAAACTAGCTGTCATTCAACACTAAACGGTGTGGAATGACTGCTATGCAGTCGAATGCAGTAGGGGAATGCAATGGAACTAGATAGATAACATGAGGGATTTCTTTGGCCCAAATCGATTAAAAGCGTTTTGAATCAGTATCTTCATGTTTTAGGGCTGAATTCAGGCTTCAAAAATTACAAATTAGCGATCTGTAAGAAAACGATTTCCAGATTGTACGCACTTGTGCGAGTGATTTGCGATCTCACATTTTCTAATCGCTAATTCGTGGTTTTCACGGAAGAATTTCTCACTTACACGGATCGCACACTCAACGTTTATCGAATTTAATGCCTTTAAATGGTAATTTGCTTACTTCAAAATTTCTTAAGGGTATACAACATATAAACCCGTGTAACAAAAGGTTAAGTTAGATTCCGACCCATATTTCGTTTAAAAATATTGCATACAGAGCCATTTCCCCCCTGGTGGTGAGGTTTGGAACTTCCTTTTTTCGCGGAAAATAAATTCCTATGACCTCCTTTACACGATTACCAGGTTTGATAACATTTGATCCAGTAGTTTTCGTTTTATGACCATTTCAATGTGGAACTTTAATTATAACCAGTCCGTATATAATTAAATTTTCATTTGAAGCTATGCATTATATGTATACCATACGTAAATTTTTCGCTTTTATGGAAAAATAAAGAATTGAAGCAAATATACTTAGGATAATGGATCAAAACTGAAAACATTTCCCCTCCCTTAGAAAATAAAATATTGAAATTCAACCTTGAATTTATTGGGTTATCGAAATATTTAATTTGATTTATCTTCTAAGTCCTAGTTCCGACAACAATTCCATCAAAATTTCCGAATTACTTAAGCTGAAGTAAAAGATTTAATATATATTCACTGTATGTTAATAAAGTAAAGTGTATGTTAATAAAGTGTAATAAAAATAGATTATAGAATTTACGCTGATACAACTTTTTGTCTGACTGCACAACATGTAATGGAAGAGAAGGCTCGTAGAGATCTGTTTTTGACATGCCTCTAAAAGTAGATGTCATACTCCTTTATTCTCTTCAATATCAAAAAACTTTCCTTTGAGAGGCAACTTTAGTTTTTGGGAAAGAAAAAATATCACAAGAAGACAAATTTGAAAAACATACAGGACGATTGAGTACACGTACTTATTTTCGGAACACAAGCGGTTCTCCGACTGGTTATTGAATAATGAAAAGATGCATTGTCATGCAATACAAAACATTTGGAATACGTTTTCTGACTGAAAACATAAGATTAAAAATCATCTGCTTAATTCACAGCCATTTACAAGTCAACTACTGGGGCAATTGCAGAATCGTTTTGATCCTGAGCTTGTAAGACAAACCTTATATCACTGAATTTAAACACTTCTTTAATCTTCCGAGAACGTTCCTTCTTTAGCTCATATTCCAAGAATATTAAGTGAATATAATTATTGCAAAAGAAATTGAATATTCATTTGCAACTACGGCTTGGTAGTTTACTAACGAGTTAACAAAACTTAAATTCTGCTTTTTGTGTCTAAGTATACAACAATATTTTAAATATTTACAAATAAAATATTAAATTGAAGATTTAATTGGAGCCTCACCAGTTGCCTAGCATTTGAAGATTGTTAAATACTAATTGTTTGTTGCGAAGTCTAACCCAGGCTGCATGGTTTTCGTAGTTTTTTAGGTTCTATTTACAAAGGTTCTCTATGAAAGCATCTTAACCGAATAGCTCCCATGTTCTTTCTATGTTCAAATAACCAAATAACCTAGTTTAAGTGCGATTTCCAAGTGAAGTTACTAGCAAAACCCGAATACTCATTAAAAATCATGTAGCTTACCAATCGGGAGTAACATGAAAGATACGGCGCCAATAATTGAATTGCTGTTACAGTATGCTGTTTCTAAATTTCGATGGTCATTCCTTAATTAAATAGCCCACCAGCGGCCGAGCGGTAAAGATGCTGAGCACTGGTAGTTCGGTCTGAAGTTCGAATCCCGTGAACAGGCTGACTGCATGGGCGTTTTCGTGGTTTTCCCCATGTGTAATGTGTATAAGAGCCAGTTTACCTTAGAAAGTCCTCCACAAAGGCATCCCTCCCTTTAGGCAGATAGCCCTCGTGTGCTTTGCCATAGTTAAATAATCCAATCCAATCCTTAATTAAATATAATTGATTTGTAACTTCTGCTAGAGCTGATGGTAAAAATTGAAGTGCAAATAAATAATATCGTGTGCAATCTTGATGAATATAAAATTAAAAATTTTGCATAGAAAAATATTTGCATTCAGACAGAAAGTTTTTTGAAATATTTGCAATTACTTTATTAATAACCGTATTACTTTATTCATAACCGTATCTATTAATAACTGTAATAATTACTTATTATATTACTGATGATTAGGATTCAGTTCTTGACAATTACATTCTAAATTAGAATTTTAAGGATGTAATGAAAATACGCTACGCACAAAAATACATTTTAGGATAAAAAAAAATTAGTCGATTTTTTATGTTTAAAAACTTCTTAAATTCATTTAATAAACATCGTATCCCTCGCTTGTAATTGAATCCAGAATGTTGGGTGTCGTTTATATAATTATTCTTACTTGTCCACAGAACCTGCTGACTTATCCAGAGCCATTAAGTAGCTGCAGATCATTTCTACATAACCATTGAACTTCCACTAATTCAGTCTCTAAAGGGTTGTATGTTTATACATATCATAATTTGACTTATATAAATGATTATTCTAAATCTTATGTTTCTATAAAAATATACTGTGCTTTAAAAATATGGATAATAGTATCTGCCGCTCTTTCAGCCACTTCAAAAGCAACAGTTTGTTTAGAAATAAATTATGCAGTTAATGTCATAAAATATTTTGATAAAATTCAAATATACATTAAACGAAAATTCTCAGTATTAGACAATTCGATTTAAACTAAGTAAAGTAGCAGACGATAAAACGCCGAAGGTAAAAATTTACTCTTAGAAAAATGTACTCTTATTTTTTTTTAAAAAAAGGAAGAAAGAGAGAAATTTAAAAAATTGTTAAAAATTTGAATAATATCATCTATAATTTTAAAAAATAGCTTTTCGCCTTATTGAGGGAAAAAATTTCATATAATTAATTCTCCGTAAAATTTTACTTGAAATGTAATTTTAAAAATAGCTGTGGCAATTCAGGTGTAACAAAAATCCATAGACCACATTTGGCGTTATTATCGCTCAAAAAAAGATGCCAAATTTCAAAACACGAAAATATGTAAATTCGTGTATATCTTAAAAAATTTTGAATAAAAAATTCTAATTTTTTTGCAGATATGCTTAAAAATACACCTACTTTATGATGATGGTAAAATTTTATAGGTTATAATTCAAAATTTTTTAGAAAAATTTATAAAAAATTATTTAAAAATAGAAATTAAAAATAAAACACAGAAAATGGGTAAATTTTTATTTGGAATGAACCTAAATTCGAAATGTGAGAGAAAAAATCAAAAAAGTTTAATAAAAAAAGAGATATTAATAAATATTTGCCAAATTCAATTAACATTGAGGAGCTAAAATTTTGAGAGCTAATATTTAAGAACTAGTCATACGATTTTTTACAAAACTTGGTGTTCTGCATAATTTGAGTCGTAGAATCGAATTATGGATGGAAAAAATTGGTATGTTATTTCAGAAAAAGTCCGATTTTGTGTCAAAATACTTATGTTAGAATAGTGCTATATATAAATCTAATATATATCCTAAGTCGCGCTTTCGAGACATGAAAAACGCAGTTTGAATTTTGTCAATCGGCTGAGTAGAACGGGAGATATAGCACTGTCCCATTTTTTTTTTTTTGAGCAGTGTACCAAGCTTCTTAGCTAAATGGGCTCAAAAATGTTAAATGAACTCAAAAACTTATCAGTTTATATTTTAGCCGAGCATTATTCATCACAAAGCTTGTTTTATTAGTCTATTTCATTTATTTTCCTGATTATTGTACTGAAGTGACGACAGAAAGACTGAAAAAGCACTAATCATTTATTAATATTCTGAAAGATCTCTAAATCTAAGGAATGAAACATTGAGCTAAAATTAATTATTAAACAGAACAATTAAAAAATTGAGTTTAGTTCTTTAAAGGGATATTTATAGTAAATTAAATTTGGGAAGAGATACATTAATAGATTTCATTTTTAGTAATGAATTATAATAAATAGGTCAATCAAGTTTTTTTTAAATATTAGAAGAGGTTTTTTTTTTTTTTTTTTTTTTTTTTTTTTTTAAATCCATTGCTTGAAGGTTGTTATACAGCTTGTAATGTGACAACAGTTATTTGCTGTATGTAAGAAATACAGATATTTTCTGAAAAAAAATTTGCAATATTTTAGTGAGTAATTTAAGGCATATCTGTTTTATCACTGTTTAGCTAATATTGAGTGCTAAAGTTCAGGCAATAAGAGATGCTCAGGTTGAAGAAAAGAAACATATAAAAAAGAAACATGCTATGGCAGAAGCAGATCTGGATGAAATAATGGAACGAGAAAGAAGAGAAGGAGTTTTAAAAGAGAGAGAAATTGAAGAAAGAAGAAAAGAAGCTGCTTACAAGTGATTTTTTTTTTTCAATTTTTCAATTTGTAAAAACACTAAACCTTAAAAACTATTTTTTACTCCTTTTAATTCATGCAGCCAAAATTTGATCAAGCATTTCTAATAAAAGTGTTTTACAAAATTCCTGTTGTACAATTTACCCACCAGTGGCTGAGCGTTAAAGTTGCTGAACACTGGTAGTTCAGTCTGGGATTTGAATACATGGGAATGGGCTGGCTGCAATTTTTTTTGTGGTTTTTCCCTGTTGTGTAACATGTATAGGAGCCAGTTTTCTTTAGAAAGTCCTCCATAAAGGCATTCTTTTTCCTCAGGCAGATAGCCCTTGAGTGCTTTGCCATAATCAAATAAACCGATCTATCATAAAATTTAGTTATAAACCAGTTTTTAATTGTGCATGTTATTTTTCCTTTTTTAATGTTATATCAGAAAAATTATGTGATAGATTATTTGGCAATAATTAACTAATAAATTTTGGTATCTGGTGATACTGAGCTAAGGTCCCTGATATTTATGATTACAATATTCAGTCTCTAAAATTATTAATGGGCTGATTAGTTATTAATGTCATACAAAATATGGATTTTTATATTTTTAGTAAACAATATAATTTATTTTTCCATGTTCTCTTCCTCCCTCCCAATTTTTTTTTTACTTGAATCCATATTTTGGGGAAGTTATGCAAATAAATGTCTATTCTTTCATTTATTAATCTGCGACTAGTCATCTAAATAATGAAAGTATGCTCTTAAAATACAGTGAACCCTCTCATGGCAGTCATCTCTCTAAGCCAACCTTCTGTGTTGGGAACATAAATAAGAAACATGTTTTTGAATGTCATTTTTCTAAGGAGACAACCACTACTAAAAAACCAAAATTATCTGGAATCATTATGTTTATATCCTTTGGCACAGTTTTGTTGTCAATTAGTTGCTGATAATTTTATATTATTAAATGTCTGTACACTGAATGTTTTCTTCTTATTTATTATTAATGCACAATAACATAGATTTGAGTTTAGGTGATGTAGTTGGTGACATTATTGATATTTCAGCCAAGCACTGTACTTGCTACCTTTGATTAATGTTAATGGGCTCTTTAATAGGTTTAATTTCAAAAGTTGATTTTTTTATCGCTTTATTTAAAATAAATTGTCTTTCTTTTTGTAAAGATAAAAGTATTTCATAATATTTGTTTCATGATATCTACTTACTGTAGATCAGCAGCAAAACTGCAAGAGCAGATAAAAGAAAACTTAGAAAGGAGATTACTAGATGAAGAGCGAAAAATAAAAGAAGGGGAAATATTGCTGAAAAAACTGAAAGAAGACCAAATGAGAGAGTATCAGGAAATGAAGAACAAGCAGCTTAAAAAACAAGCTATTTTGGTGATTTTCATCTTTATTTAAAAAAATGAAAATTGATATAACTTTTTAATTTTCTGCTGTAAAAATTATCTTATGTATCTTTTGATTTGGGCATATAGCGTTTAAAAGTTAAAAAAATTAAAATGTTGTGTAAATAATGTGTTGTGAACTTTCCTTAAGGATAAAATAAAATTATGCTTTACTACAGAAAAATATTATCTACATCTATAATGATGTTTCAGATTTTCTCACAGCTGGTTATTATTAAATTGTTGATAAATAACATTAAAATATGGCTTATTTAAACCTAAGCTGTTTTTCAGTATGTTGAATTATATAATCAATAAATTATCATGCAAAGTGTGTAAATTTACTACAAAACTTAGATTATAAGCTTTATATTTAGAACTTTTTTCTTGAATAGTTTCAACTAAAAACTAAAGACCTAACTCTTTTAAGAAGAGAACTACCAAAGCAGTTTAAAGACGAGCAGAATTTTATAAAATTTAAATTAGCTAATTTTTTATCAAATAATTATTAACTGCTTCATTTTGTTGGTTATGTCTGTCATTCTTAAAAAATATGGGGCTGAAACATATATTTTGGAAACGTATATGGAAGCATATATTTAATGTTTCATATATGTCTATATATTTATTATAAAAATGTTTGAATATTTATTGCTATATCAGTAGAACGTTTCTATTGTTTTTGATTGAAATATATATTTGATGCATTCCATTGAAACATACATTTGATGAAAGAACAATATCTAATTTTTATTTTTTCTTTCTTGAAAGTGTATATAGAGTCAAAAGTCGTTAATCCAGACTCGTCGGGACTTCGGCGATTCCGGATTATCGATTTTCCGGATTATAGATCATCAGTTTAAATCTCGTAACATGGCATGCAGAAATTCTAAAATTAAAAAATGAAAACCGTAATTTATGAAATAAAGAACAATTATGATCTAAAGGGTATCAAAATTTACAAAAAAAAAAAAGCTTAATATTTATTTTTTTACTTTATTAAACATTTCTTTCAATCTAAGTTGTTTAAATTGCTTCGTTTTATGTGATAATACTTTCTCTTAAATTCTATAAACAGACATAATTTCTTGTTCAGTTGCAAAGTTCCGCTGTTCAAGTCCCGTAATTACTGTGCCGAGAATACCGACTAACTTGTCAATCGAAATTTTTTCGTTTTCACTAACCTCTCTGTCACCTTCTTCATGTCTTTATCCATTTTTTGCAGCAATTCCACTTTTTGTTTGATGGACATCGAAACATACTTTCGTTTTGTAGATCCTTTGGGAGCTCCAGCATCGGAAATTCTATTTGACATAATCGAAAGTTCAAGTTTACTTTTATAAAATTGCTTTTACAGTCTGCAAAAATTAATAAGCCACATCCAATTCGAAGGTTAAAGAACAACGCAATCATCAACATTAACTGAAATAGATAATTTTAGCTTATACCGTCCGTTATACATTAAACGCGCACGCGAAAACGTATTCTGCGCTTGCGCACACGCAAATGCGCAGTCGTAAGAGGTCTTACTCGCACGCGTAAACGCCTATGTGCATGTGTCAACGCGGTGCATGCGCAGAAAGTTTTTAGCTTTGAGGTCCGGATTATAGATCATTCCGGATTATGAGTGTCTGAATTAACGACTTTTGACTGTATATATATATTTTTAAGTTAACCATTTTATTTTATTCCTTGGAGTTTGTCATATAGTATGGTACAGTCATGAGCAAATGCTGACTGATTTTCACACCACTGGACTTAAATTCAGATTTTGAATAAGAGATAAATGTTTGTAATTTTGAGGTATGAAGGCATTTAAAACTGTTGAGAAGTTGGTTTTAAAGAAAGAAGGGTACAAACCCTCAGATTTCATTTTGCAAGGACTCTTAATCAAAATAGGGATGGAGTTTAGGCAGAACTCTTATGAACTTTTCTTAAATTAAATAATCCAGTCTAATCCAATTTAAAAGATGTATGGCAGCTTTCAAAAATTTTTTTGTAAAGCTGTGTAAAATTAATCATTTAGAATTAAAAAGCCACCATATGTAAAAAAAGAAATGTGTGCACATAAAAGGGAAGCCTGTGTATGCTGTCAAAGTATTTGTTTTATATATTTGCTCAAAAACCACATATAATTTTTATCATTTATGTGGATATGCTTACTATTCATTTGGATGTATAAATTTAATTCTTTAAGTCAATTAGTACAAGTCAGAGTAAGTAATGTAATAAGTGCAATAAAGTGCAGATTTTTGACATTCCTAATAAGTTATAACTGTAATAAATACCACAGAAAAATACATTCATTGATTATGTAAAACTTAGAATATAGAGGTGGAGTGAAAATGGAGGAATTGTACACTATACGTACAAAAATAAAATTTCTTAGCATGTTATTGTTGTTGAGACTTACTTCATTTATCTGACAGTAACATCAGAACAAATTTCATCATGGTAAGAAGCACAAGACTGCAACTGCTATTAGCATGAACCTTAGGTACTTTATAGGTGATAGTATGACTTTGCTTCGGTTTGTCTCAATTTTGAAGGAGAAACTCCTGGGGTATAGATCAGACTGTGTCCCACTCGTCTTCTTTTAACACCAAACTACTTGAGAGGATTTATGGCTTGTCATGTATTTTAAAAATTCCCATGCCACAAAGACATGGACAAATATCTAAGCATATCTAAGCATTCTCCAGAATTTGACCCTGAGCCCACTGACATGCAGCTAACATTGCCAGTCACTATACCAATCTGGGCAAATGGTTCCAAGCATAAAATATATCATGCAAATGAAGGGAATAAAATGTACTGTTATACTATTTTTTACATAACTTAAGTAACTTACATAAATTAGGGACCTGTAATTCTGTATAACTTTTTGTTCATATCTTTAATTTATTTTAATATTTCTGATACTTAATAGATTTAATATAATAAAATATCCTATTTAATATCCTGTAATATAGGCCAAAATGTTAATGTCTTTTAAAAAATCCAGTTTAGACAATGTGTTAGCAGACATTGACATTAAACAAATTTAATTAATATTTGACTACAGGAAGAATTAACAAAAGCAAATGAGGAACAACTGAAAAGAAAGCAGATCATGAAAGAACAATCAGAGAGGGAAGATAAAATAATAGCAGAATATCAGAGGCTCAAAGCAGTAAGTGAAGTTAATAAATATATATCAGAAATCATTTAATAATTTATTGTTTCACCTAACATAATAATAAATTTAGCATTTAAAAAAAGGTATAAATCTGACATGGAAAATGAGATCTAGGATTTGCCTTATATTAATTCAAAGTTTTCAACTCCAATCTTTTTTTTTTTTTAGCTCAGCGATTGCTCTGATATGTCTTCTTACTGAACACAATTTTGTTAAGACAGTGTGTTTTTCATTATACTGACAACTCTATTTGACCTTCGTTTTGTGTATTGAATAACTTCTAAATCAATGAAAACCTTAAAACATATTCATAGTTAAATTATGTTATTTTGAAATACCTTGGAGTAAAAGGCTTTCTAATACTTTAAAACAGAGGTCCTCCTAATCCTATGTCTGCGGGCAACATGGTGCCTGACAACAATTTTACACTAGTACCCTGCTGTGAAACCAAGGTGAAAAAAAAAAAAAAAAAAAAAAAAATTAAGTTTTAAATAAAATGTTAAGAAAAAAAATAGTTCATAATTAATTAGAGAAATGTAAACATATATGTTTATAAGTTTATGTTTGCTTACCAGATATCCTGGTTTGTCCTAGATCCTAGGCAATTGGTAATTTTTACCTTATTGTTCATTAAAAATTAAAAATATCAAACATTGTAGTTTTCAACAATGAATGTCATAAAATTAAAGTATAGAACTCAATTTACAGATGAACATCTTGATGATTACTTATGAGCAAAAATAATATCAAACTACCAGAATTATGAAGCAATGGCCTATGAAATGCAATGTCAAATATCACTACTGACTTCATGAATTACATTTTTATAAAGAAATTTTATACCAACGAATTGTAAAACAAAGGCTATGTAGACTTTTGTCTGTACTACTTAATTATTATTTATTTTACATGCCATCAGTAGTTTTTACATCTTAAAATTATATTTTTGGAATAAAATGTTTTTTGTATATTATGCATATTATTAACTACCTCTCTACAAATTTACTTTGAAAGAATAAATATGCCCACCACCCCACTGATATTCTAGAATGTGCTCCAAGATACAAGAAGGTTGGAGATTCTTGCTTTAAAACAATAAAGTGGTAATTGGCTAGCATTTGGAAATAACTGAATAACAAAATGTGCCTTGCATTGTAATTATCCAAGAAACTGAGTATCAATTAAATCTGACATAAAATTGTAAAATTTAGCTGATAATTTTTGAGTAAAATTTAAATCATTTATGCAATTGAAATCCATATAAATATTTCAATATATATGATTTCCTCTTAAACAGGATACAGTTAAGAATGCAAATGGAAAACCACTGTCAAAATGTAAGACACATATTGTTTTCCTCAACAGTGAAACATCGATTCATGAACTTAATTCATAGCTGTTTGTCATTAGAAATGTTTGTAAACTGAAATAATTTTTCCTCATAGGAATCAATGCAAAATAGATTAATCCATTTCTGGAGCACAGGTGATCATTTATTTAAAATTTACGACAGTACTTTAAATACAAATTCACAGTAGAAAAGTAATGGAAATTGTTAAATTTAAAATGCACACACACAAAAAAAAAGTAAACCAATATTAAACAGATAAAATAGACAAAAACTGATTTTAATTCTATTGTACCCAGACTTGGACATTATTCACTTGAAGTTTAATACATTAATAATTGAATTGCAATGTAATTGCAAATATAAGTATTTGCAGCTACAATTACAATGTAATTGCAATTATAGTTAAAGCAACTACAATATATAACTGTTATTTAAAATCTTTTAATTACAATGTAATTGTAATACTAAATCAGGGACTTGTAACTTAATCGCAATTATTATAACCAATTAAGGGAATTAAAACCATTTACTGTGATTATTGTGATCTCATTTTCCCTAGACTATGTAATGAAAATTATTAGGGGCAATAACTTTCCTCATTATTATGTAATTATAATTACCTACTGCATTTACAATTGCATTGTATTTGTAATAAATTATGTTACTGCATTTATATTGTAACTTCTATTAGATTATATAATTACATTCTAATTACAATTATGTTACAATTACATTATAATTGTAACTAGATTTCACAGTTACCACATAATTAGATTATACAATTGCAATGTAATTACAGTTACATTTTCCCAACTGTGACTGTACATGTACAGAGAAAAGTAGACAAATAGAGAATTATAAATGAAAAGTAATAAAATGGTATAAAAGTGATGATAGAAATTTATGAATGAAAAGTGATGAGATGTCATTGTTTGGATGAAAAGTTTCCTTTCATAAAAACATCAGGTAATTTTTTCTTTTGAAATACCTTCTTTATTTTTTTTATCTGATTCTGATTGAGACTGCCTGGGCTTCTCTTTCATTTAAAATTTAATAAATTATTTGTTGTTTATGTTTTAAAATATTTTTGAACTAGATAAGTCATTAGTCATTATCATTAAAATTGCTTTGCTGTAGCTTGCTGCTGCTTTGATATCATTACATGAAATTTTGCATCTTACTCCCTTTTGGTCCTCCAGGTCAAACATCAAATAATTGTCTTGAGGCATCTTCCTTTATTTTTTCGTATCTGTTAGTATTACCTGATTGTGATTGGGATTCCTTCAGCTTCTGATTTATTTCAAATTTATGTTATATGATTTTTTTTTTTATATTTTTAAATGTTTTTAAAGTGAGATAAGTCATTGTCATTAAAAATGCTTTTCTACAGCATGCTATTGCTTTACTTGCAATACCATTGCATGAAATTTTGCACCTTACTCCATTTTGCAGATCAAAGTACTAGGTTCATCATTTTTTCCCCTCTTTCTTCCTCTAAGGATACCTCCATAGTTGCCTTTTCTTGCTGCATCTGAGGATGCCTCAGTTCTTTTTTATTGAATTTATGTCTAGGTTTCTGTAGCAACTCGTCTTAGTCTTAATTGTTAGCTTCCATGCCCACAGATTTGCATACAAGCACAATATCATAAATGAAATAATCTTCAGTCTCAAAAACTTCAAATTTTCTGCTTGCAACAGTGTCTAGTCATTTTTGTCCAGGTCAAATATTCTTGGTCTTGTAAGTTACTTGCTGTCAGGCTTTGTTACTGAGAACTAAGCAGTGGAAAATATTAAAATTTCAGGAAGTCCCTTGGTGTTAATTTTGGGAAGCACTCAATTCTCATCTAATTTTAAAATAATCTCACATATCTAAGGTTCTGATATGGAGACTCATGCCATTTGTGATTGCCACTTAGAATTTATTATTATATTTCTCAGTGTAATTTAATCTTCAAACCATGGCTTTTAACAAGAACTTTAAAGAAAACTATTCTTTTAAAACACATGTTACATTCTGTTTACCATGTTGCTACCATTTTTTCAAAAGTTGTCTTAGTTCATTAATAGAGCTTCTAATATGTTGTATTTTCATTTTAGTTCTTTACAAAACTTCATACTTTGCAAATTATTTCTCAAAAATAATTATTTTAACTAGGAACAACATCTGTTGCATATAATTTTATTTGATATCTGTTTTAGAATAGGACTTTATTAAAACAAATTCATTACTTCTAAAGAATTCAGCAAATATAAAAATATGCTTCTGTGAAACTACAATATAATATGTCATAGCCCTTGTTTAAATTTGTTGATATTCCAGAATACGTTAACACATTGACTGCCAGTCACTGGAGTTAGATTGATAGTTATTGCCACCCATATGGAAGTAAACTGTATCCAGATGCCAACATACTTATTATAAGAAATATGATTTAAAAATATTAATAAAAGATAATTATGTGATACCTAAGTATTATTTAAGCCTTTTATTAAAGAATTTTTTAATTACCAGTGTGTGATTGGCACTACATGTCAAAATTTTCCCTAAATGTCACATTACGTGCTGGCGCGTGGAATGTAAAAAATAAATTTAAATAAGAAAAATAAGTGACAGTATGCATTATTTTTATATCAATATGTATTACAGACAATTATACATATTACAAAGGAATTTATAACAAGAAAATTACAAAGACATTATACAGATACATCTAGAATGTTATTTGTGTATTATCTTTGAACAATCTAAGCAGTACCCAGGAGATCCTTTACAAAATTTGCAAACATATCTTTACATTTCCCTTGGGAATAGCAACTTTTGCATTGCTTTCTTAGAATTTTTTCTTCTAATTTTTCTTCCCATGTACTCAGCACATGTTCAGATTCAGACTGATCACACACAGGAGCACGAGAACAGATGGCTGTATCAGTAAACTTCGTATCACGGATAAACGGTAGTCATACAGTGATGTATTTTCATTGGAATACTTATTATAGATAAAGTGGGAATTGTTCATCATTATTTGCAAAATATGCACAAATATTTTCGTAGGCCACCTAATTGTTTTTCTCTCACAAGGATAATAAGCAAGCATCTGATCTTGCTTATCAATACCGGCCATAAATTTATTATATTGAATTACAGGTAGAGTTTTCGATTTAATTTCACCTCTTTTGTTTGTTATTTCTGCCATATCATTTTTATATTCATTGAAAGTGTAAGTGACGTCTCTCTTATCTTGCCACTTTGCAATCATCACACCATTAGCATACTTTGCTACATTTGCCCTTTTTTCAGTTTTTTTTTTCGTTTCCTCTTTTGGAAATGTCTTTCTGTTCTTTCTGATTGTCCCAGTGCAATGAGTTTTCCTATCAGCAAGACATTTGGACAGTTCCTATAATAATTGTCCATAAATATGCTATCTCCTACATCCAGCATTCCCTCGAGTAAATTCATAACGACTTTTTTTTGCATGTTCTTTTCTGCCAGAATCATCCAATATGCCTGTATATATCATAAATTTCAGAACCATACCATCAGGGGTCGTGATCATGTACAACTTGATACCACATTTGTGACGTTTATTTGGTATATACTGTCTGAATATAAGCCGTCCATGCCACAATACCATCGATTCATCTAAACTAATCTCACGCCCTGGGTAATATATTTCAGATACTCGCGCGTTGAACAAATTCACCATATCTCTTACTTTATACAGTCGATCCTTTGGAAGCTTTGTATTCTGATCTGGGATTTTTGCGAAGTGCAATGCCCTCAGTAACAACAAAAACCAATTCCTGCTCATATTTTCTGAAAATACACGTAAACCAAACAGTGAATCTGTTTTCCAGTAACCTTTTATAGGTGTTGTGATTTGTATAGTTGTATGATCAATCCCACAAATACCAAGAGTTCCTCTTTTGTGGTGCTCTTCCAAGCATTGATGCGAGAATGTTTCTTTTTTTCCTTGCAAAAAAGTACTTTATGAGCATAATCATTAGTTTCAGCAACTATTTCTTCCAAGATACCATCAGTGAAAAAAATGACGAAAGAAATCTATAGGATTGTTACCTGAAACAGGTTGGAGCAAACACTCGGATTTTATGAAAGGAAATTTTTTTCATTGATGTTGAATCGTTTTCCCAAATAACATTTTCTGCCATAGTTGAATCATCCTGCTGACATGCAGCCTCTTGCACGATTCGTTCATCATCATCATCAGAATCCAAAATATCATGGCTAAAAGTCGGAGGAACGAATTCTTAATCACTGTCATAACTAAAATCGCTCGGGTACTCATCCGATAGCTCAGCCAACAAATTTGCTATTTCATCATCCCTAAGAGCCTTATTATATTGAACTTTTCATTTTTTCGGGTGTGAAGGCCCTGCACTATTATCTCTACAGCTCATACTAAAAGATTATTTTTTCAATAAAAAATAAAACAATAATTTCAAAACTGTGATTATTTATACATAGTTTCTAATTTTCACTCCATGCCAATACCAGAAGGAATGCCCTGCATGCAATGCCAAATGAACTGGAGAATGAATAACAAGTATAGGATTTTCCCGCGCCAACGCGTGACTGGCTGCTGAGACATCACTCCACATCATACGCTGGCGCGTGATTGGCTTCTTGCTGATAACAAAACGTCACGCGCTGCCGCGTGATTGGCAGTCAATGTGTTAAGTGAAGATATGTGGACCCATATATTGTTTACACTTCTATATAAGTGTTATGATAATAGAAGTGATTTGCCAATGATTTAATTTTTGCATTCATCTTAGTCTTCATTTTTTTATTATGTAATAAATAGATAAACAAATATATAATGTGAAATTTTATTTAAATACAGTGAAACCAGTGGCGTAAATAAGGGTATGCAAGGAATGCAGTCACATAGGGGCCCGAAGTCTTAGGGGCCCATGAATGTCCTGCTGAACTACATTTACATATTTAAACTTAAAACACGTATAAAAATCATGTATTCGAGTAGTTTAGTGCACCAAAAAGTTTTCTTAAAAGAAAAGGGGTGAACTTTACCATGTATATTTTGTACAAAAATTGTATGTTCAAATAGTTTTCTTTATGAAATTTATGATAAATACGTTTTTATATTTAACAAATGTATCATTTACATTATAAAAGTTCTTATTTATGATTTGTATATTATTGCATAAGTCATGTTCATAAGCTCAGTTGATCACAGAGCGCTATATATTAGTGCAATTTCTTTTTTGTACGTTTACCTATCATGTTGTCTGTCAGTTTATAACATAACCATTTATTTACTAACTTGCTAAATTAAGAAAAAAAAAAAAAAGCTTGGATTGGTGCAGATTTTATATAGAAACCTGAAATATACTTGCATGTAAAACCTACTGGATTTTATTTAAAAATCTCCGCAAATCTAGACTTTTTTCCCCCTTTTTTTAAGCACAGTAAATTTATTGGGGGGTTGCAGAAAAATTTTTTGCACAGGTCCCCAAGAGTTCTAGCTACGCCACTGAGTGAAACCTCTTATTGCAAACATTCCTTTTATATGTCACACCTGAAAATCACCAGTACCTCTGATAATATAAAAAACTTTGGTACTGAGTATTATTGACCATTTTCAATAGTAACTTCATTATCTGGCAAGCAATGGCAGACAACTGCAGGCTATATAAATAGAAGTGTATGTTGGTATATGGTAACAAATCTGTTTTCAAAAATTCATCCATGCATATCTTATTTCACTTCAAATTTATTTGTATTTTCACTTTTTTGAAGTATTTCTTACTTATGTTACTTATAATGTTATTAGCAGTGCTGGAAAAAATATTGCAGCTATAAAATGATGATTGCTGTAATCATTAATTAAATTTACAGGTCATTGTTAAATTTGTTTTATAATAAGGTATTGTTAAATTGCATGTGTAGTATAACAATAAAAAAATGTTTGATTATTTGGATCAGAGATAAAAACTTCCTTCATTATGATCTTTTCCTTTCAACATCAGTGTCTGTTATACAAAATGGAACTGTGTACTGTTTTGTGAGAAGCAATTTAACTTAGTGAATGAGGAACTTTCTATAAGTTTTATTCATCAGATGTATCATGAAAGAATATATAAATGGTGTGTTGAGTGTATATGTATTATGTATGTATTTGAATGTATTAAATATAGGCTCAAGATGAAGCTAAAGAAGCTGCTGAGAAAGAAGCTAAGCTAAAGCGGGAGCTTGAGTTGGCTAGGATGGGAGAAATTCGAGGAAAAGCTTCAGATCTGCAGGCTGAACAAGTAAAGCAAAATATGCTAATTTTGCATCTATATAAAATCTTATTTTAAAAGGAAATATGAGTTTTAATTACTTAACATATAGCTTTGTATATAATATGTATAATTAATATAAATCCTTCTGAATATAAATAATATATATATATATATAACGGGTGGCCATAATTAAACTGACAGTGCTCACAGTGTTCTGTAGCTCGATTATTTGGTGAGAATGACACCACATTTGTAGGAAGATTAAAAGACGGGGGATGAAGGATTCCGCAAAAAAACAAATTAGTTCCAAAAGTCACCACTAGGGGAATATTTGCTGCTGTGTACAGAAAATAGAGTGTTAACAAGAAATTATACAGAAAAAATACTTTTTAAAATTTTCTGATTTAGTTCAAGTTAATTATGGCAACACTTTTTAAAAAAGCGTAAATTCTACAATTAAAACCGATAAAGTCTCGTGATCTGCAATATCACGTACGCTGAGCAGAAAGAAGAAGTTCTTTATTCAAAATTTCACGTTACATCAGTTCGCACAGTGCCGGCTGCTTGGGTTTTAAAAGGCAGTGTGTACGTTCGAATCAATCGGATGAAAGTTTATGTGCAATGTCTCTTTCTTTAGTCGAGCGTGCGTTACTGGTCAAATTCTTTTACCTCAAGCAGTGCAACGCGTCAGCCGCTCTTTGTGCTTTTAGAACGCACAAAAAAATGCAAAAAAAAAGAAGGTAATGGTTCGGTGTGTCAGTTAATAGTCTAAAAGAAATAGTTGCACGTTTGAGAAAACAGGTTCTCTGAAGGTTCAGTCAGGCAGAGGACGAAAATCTGTACCACAGGATACAATCGAAGCAGTAGTTGCCATGGCGATTGTCGACAGAGAACCAGACAATATTGCTGCCACCTCTAGCACTCGTGGAGTAGCTCGGATTATGGGTATGCCTTACAGTACAGTATGGAAAATCTTACAAAAGATAATCAACTTCTATCCGTTCAAGATCAGCCATGTACAGGAGTTACTGTACCCCGATCATGATAAGCGATTGACTTTTGCTCTCACCTTTCTAGCCAGAATGGAGGTGGATGATGCTTGGCCGTGGAAATCTTATGGGGAGACGAGGCGCCTTTTACGTGAATAGAACTGTGAATACCCAGAAATGCCGAATTTGGGATGGACAAACCAGCACATGCAGTATAGCATCCCCTTACATTCACCAAAGGTAAGTGTTTGGTGAGGGTTCACAGAGGAATTTTATTGTAGGTCCATTCTTCTATGAGAAACACTTCCCCGAACAGGACGGAAACCTGTTCTGTTACGGAGAGAAATATCGCCACTGTTGAAATAGCTTGTCATTCCGGCACTTCAGCAAGACAATGCCTGGAGGAAATCATTTCGCAAGATGGAGCCCCTCCACACGTTGCTGTACAGGTGCAAACAGATGGCGAGAGAGAAATTCACCAACAGAAAGGCAGCCGCGCTACCCACTGCAGGGCCACCTTGGTCGGGCGACCCCAGAGACGGCAGGGAGAGAGAGGAGAGGAGATAGAGGGAAAGAGAGAAGAGAGAAATAGAGATAGAAGAGAAAGAGTAAGATATAGAGATTATATATATATAGAATATATATATCATTATTATATATATAAATATGCCGATTATCTATATATATATATATATACACACATTGATGTACGAAAATATAGGATAGGACAGGAAGAAGTGGAAAAGACACCAGAATTTCACCAATAGTTTTACAAGTAAAGATTCACCACAATTATTATATAGTTTTATCCCAACTTTTCATAGAAAACACTCCATAGCATGGATCCACAGATCTCGTACCTCTCTTTCCTTATCACCAAACCAGTCAAGAAAATTTTTAGCTTGCCAGTATTTTAAATGCCTTGCTGCATAAGGTGCTGATCTTCTGAAGGCATTTTCATTCTTCTTCTTGTCCATTTTTCTGGATAAGAGTTTCAGTATCTTTCATTTGTTTGTACAAATGTTTTACAATCTTTTTAACTAGATTGCACCTCAATATTTAAGTACCCTACCTATAAATGAAGGTAAAACTCTATACTGCAAAGATTCTCACAAAATATTTTGGAGCCACTCAGAAACATTTTCAGTTCTTTTTTGCTGAAAATCAAGCCTGGGAATAATGAACAAATGAAATTAAAATTTGATTGGATTATAAGAATTAATTTTTCAATTAGATTTATTTCCTTGAAAATTATTTCACAGTCGGTCAGGTACAATTTATTACATGTGGGCTAATATTATGTTAGACAACAATTTTGTACTCTGCGTGAAAGAAATGATGCTTTTGAATTCCTGCCATAACTATTTAATTCATTAATTATTATTTGTTGCATGGGAAATAAGTTTCATTGTACACTTTCATAACATGTAAAATAGAAACCATCTGTTGGTTTGTTTAATTTACATGTTTATTAATTCACAAAATTTTTTATGTTTAAATTTTTTGATTGCAAAAAAATTTTGTTGGATATTGTAGATTGCCGAAGAACTTTAATCAGAATATGTTGTTTCATAATATTATCTTAAGCTTATTTTTTTAATTCAAGGAAGCACTTCGTGCACGAAGAGCTCAAGAAGTAAAAGAAAGGGAATATAGAAGGAAAGAAAAAGAGGCAGCTTTAAAGAAGAAACAATTACTGCAAGATTTAAAAAAATGTAGGGCTGAACAGTTAGAGCAGCAAGAACGTCTAAGGCAAATCAAAGCTGAAGCAGAAATTAAAGAGTTAGAAGCTTTGTTAAAGTAAATACTTTTTCATATTTTGCTATATATATGGTAGGGAATTGGCAAGTAAGATATTATTTTTATGCAATATTATTCAGAAAGAAGATGTAGATTAATGTTTAAAACTTTTGAATTTAACAATAAACAAAATAAGAAATTTATAGACAAGATAAATTCCAGTGATAAAGAGTATTATGAAGGGATTTATTCATTTTAATCAATATGTATATTAGATAAAAGGTGATGCAGAATTTAGCCAAAAGTGTATATGTTGTAGCAGGAATTCCCAACCTTTTACTTGCATAGATCCATTTTAAAAGAATGGTTTTCTTCATCAATCCCCCTCATATTTTTCTCTATAATATACACTGAAGTGACAAAAGTCATGGGATACCTCCTAATATTTTGTCGGTCCTCCTTTTGCCCGGCAAAGTGCAGCAACTCGACGTGGCATGGACTCAACAAGTCGTTGGAAGTCAGTGCAGGAATATTGAGCCATGCTGCCTCTATAGACGTCCATAATTGTGAAAGTGTTGACGGTGCAGGGTTTTGGCCATGAACTAACCTCTCGATGATGTCCCATAAATATTCGATGGGATTCATGTCGGGCGATCTGGGTGGCCAGATCATTCGCTGGAATTGTCCAGAATGTTCTTCTAACCAATCGCGAACAATTGTGGCCCGGTGACATGGTGCATTGTCATCCATAAAAATCCCATCGTTGTTTGAGTACGTGAAGTCCATGAATGGCTGTAAGTGATCTCCAAGTAGCTGAAGGCATCCACTTCCAGTCATTGATCGGTTCAGTTGCACCAGAGGAACCATGCCATGTAAAAACAGCAGACCATTATGGAACCACCACCAGTTTGAACAGTGCCTTGTTGACAACTTGGGTCCATGGCTTTGTGGGGTCTGCGTCACACTCGAATCCTACCATCAGCTTGAACCAACTGAAATCGTGACTTATCTGACCAAGCCATGGTTTCCCATTTATTTAGGGAACAACCGATATGCTCACGAGCCCACGAGAGTTGCTGCAGGCGATGTCGTGCTGTCAGTAAAGGCACTCGAGTCGGTCTTCTGTTGGCATAGCCCAAGGAAGACAAATTTCGCCACACTGTCCTATCGGACACGTCCCTCATACGTCCCACATTGATTTCTACGGTTATTTGACGCAGTGTTGCTTGTCTGTGAACATTGACAACTCTACGCAGCTGTTGCTGGTCTCGGTCATTAAGTGCAGGTGGTCGGCCACTGCGCTGTCCATGGTGGGGTGTTATGCCTGAAATTAGATACTCTCGGCACACTCTTGACACTGTGGATCTCGGAATGTTGAATTCCATAACGATATCCGAAATGGAATGACCAATGCGTCTAGCTCCAACTACTATTCCGCATTCAAAGTCTGTTAATTCTCGTCGTGCGGCCATAATCACGTCAAAGCCTTTTCTCATGAATAACTTGAACACAAATGAAAGCCCTGCCAAAGCACTTCGCATTTATACATTTTCTATGTGATGCTACTGCCATCTGTATATTTGCATATTGCTATCCCATGACTTTTGTCACTTCAGTGTAGAATATACAATATAATCATAATGCAAATAATTGTACATAAATAACTTCAAGATAACAATCAAATCAAGAAAAAGTTTGGGGAAAGACCATGGTGTATTAAATTTATATTTAATTATTTTTCATGTTATTATTATTAATTTTATAAACATGAACAAGTTCCAGAAACAAAATCATGGACTGTAATTACACAATAGTTCAGTTTTAATCAATAAGATGTCTCCGCTTAGTGTATTGTTACAGTTATTTTAATATTTGCCATAAAACTGCTGAATTAATTTTTTATTCTATTCTTGTTTTGGTTCTTCGTGTTTTTTTCTTGTATTTTCTTGTGTTCTTGCATTTTACTTTTTTTTATTGCACTTATTGCATAAAATTTATGTATTCAAAATATTATTGATTTAAAAATATATTAAGTAATTTTAGTGTACTTATAATAAACAAGCAATTTATTATCAGTCTTATTAACATTTTTTTTTGTAATGAATGCTACCACGATTATGCCAATCTATTTCCAGTACATATTCAGCTATCTACCCCTTGATTAGCACTGATCCCCTTTGAAATTTCATCAATCCCATTGGGAACCTCTATGTTATAGCATATCCTTAAAAATAAATTAATACATAAATCTTTTATGAAAGGTAAGAAAATGATGGAAAAAAATGGTCAGTATTAAATGAATTTTAAATAGTGAATGCTAATAAATGCTTCAGAGCAAAAATGACAGAATTTGTTGAATAATAAAGGGTTACTTTGCCAGAACATTTATATATTATTTTAAATTCACAAAGTAAATTTTATACATCATTAAAAATTCATAAAACTAGAAAAAATTATCTACAAATGCATTAGAAAAGTTATTGAAGGATCTTGAAACTTGACATCAAAATGTCACTCAATCATTTATGTAAACAAAAGAAAATGCATAATATGTGATTGTACAGTTTCCGATGTGCAGGGAAATTCACATCAGAAAACTTATATAAGATGTATTGCTTAACTGGTCTATCAATTTGACAGCACATATGATAATATTGTTTACAATAATAAATGAAAATCCTCCTGAGACTCACTTGATACAATCACTTGAGTGGTTTTAACAGGGATTGCATCATGACTTTCAGGATAGTAATCGAATAGATTGCTTGTACAAGTATGGAAGTGATGATATTGTTATGATTGGTTTCAACAAGGTGTCCATAATTGTCATGACGGTGTAAAAAGGCTAGAACAAAAGCTTCTTATGAGAATAGAAGATTTTATAAAAATGACAATTGCAATAAATACTGCAGTTTCATGATTTGCCATTCAAAATTATATATACTAATTTCATGGATATTTAATATCACACTACACCATTGTAAGAAATCTGTCAAAAATTGGACTTCATTGTTGTCTGCATGTGACAACATCTGCAACTAATTTCTAGGTATTGACAGCAATATTAAGGTCTTATGGTCATAAAGCTTCAAACATATCAGATTGGAACCATAATGCATTCAGCGATGAATCATGGTTTTTGCTTGGTTTAATAGCCAGAGAATTTATGTTTGGCAGATGCTTCACTATATGTTCATCCCACATCATTGCAAAGCAATATATATCAGTCATTTTTGGTATTGTCAATTGGGGGACACATTGCCTATATAATACCTAGATAATTTGGGATCCTTTACAGGAATTTAATGGCATGGTGATACACTCATGTTGTCATGTGGCCTCTTAGATTGCCAATGCTGTTACATCTGTCAGAGTAATCTCTTGGTAAGATAATTCCTGCCCACTCTTAGTGAATATTTGTGTTGGGTAATAATCCTTTCATAGTCTGCATGATCTTCAGATCATTCTTCAGTTGGATATGTACTTGGTATGTTAGGATACTAATTATATTTATCTTGTAATGCATGTAGACTTGCTGAGCAATTAGAAAACATCTGGACACAAATTTTTAGGGACGGCATTCAACCTTTTATGATCTCACATTGAATATCTTCTTACACTGCTACTAGAATCATCAATACATTAGACTTAGTATCTTCCAATTCTAGACATATGTTTAATTAAAAAATGAATTAAATGCATTTTTTAATTAAACATACTATGTAATTTTAATCATTTAAAATTTTTCTGCACATTGCTCATATCAAGTTTAATTATGATTGAACATTTTTTTGGCTATGCATATTTTTTAAAATTCAGAGTGTGTTTTATTTTTTAATAATGGTCTAATCTTTCATGAAAGAAATTAATATTACATTCAGGTATAATTTCTTTCCCCATCTAAAACTTAGGATTATTTTTTCATTAGACAGATAGTTAACCTAATTGTCAAATTTATAGGGATATAATATCTAGCGCTCTTGAGTTCTGTAGTAAACTTATCAAAACAAAGGCATATGAGCCAAAATATAATTACAGTGTTTTAAATTATCTTAGAAATAGTTAACCGATAAAATATGTGTATAAAATTTATTTTTTAAAAGTAAATATCATAAAGTATCACATTTTTAATGCAAATTTATGCACATTTGTAAATTTGTAATCAAAATTTAATGCAATTTATTTTTAAAGGAAAATTAAGGAAGAAACTAAACAAGAGGAAAGAAAAGCTCTTATGAAGAAATTAGAAAATTTGAAACATTTAGAACAGCTTAAAAACCAAATACAAAAGAAAGAAGTAGAAAAAATAAATGAAAAACGAGATTCCTATAATGAAGGCATACATTTACAGCAAGAAGAAAAGCGCCGGCGTGAAATGTTGGAAGTTTTAAAGAAAGAAAAGTTACAAGATCTGCGGTGAGATTTTCAAATTTGAAAATATTATGATACTTTAAATCAAGGGTGGAAGCTGGAAAGCAATATTTTGAAAACTTAAAGCTTATGTATTGAAAATTATTTAGCACTTTTTTTTTAAGCAAAGGTAGTGGTGAAAAGGGGGGTGCCCGGGTGCCCAGGACCCCCCACCTGGCTACACGCTTGAAGGAGGTGTGTTTTCTTCTCTTTCCCAACACATCTCGTAAATGGTAAAGGTACCACAAAATATCGTCACAGTCCTGCCTATATGATGCACTAAAAAAGATTTTTTGGTCTATGGTTAAGAGTATTTGCCTGCCCTGCTTTAAATTTATATGTTTTTAAAATTACAAATTATATTTACACAGCAGTTAAAATATTTATTAATATAAATATTATACTACATGTACAGGGTATTTGAAAGAATGATTGTACATTTTATTTCCTAAAATAGGGATCCTTAGGCATCTTCTTTCAAAATTCCTGAGAATAAGATGCAGAATCAATCAACATTTAAAGATATAAAACTTAAAGATACCTCATCTTGGCACCATGTAAACATTATATTTTGAACATTTTATATCTTTATGTGATACGTGGTTTATCCAAAAAGTTAAATTGAATAACAGCATATAAAAAATGTCACTATAAGGGAATGCATGTGTATGAAGTATTTATAGAAAGATATGTATATGTTACTGTAAAAGCCCGAAGTCTGGTAAATCCTAGGTTTTACCAGTAAAACCTAGCTTTTACCAAAGTGGCTTGGTAAAAGTCCAAAGTATGATTTAATATGATTCCATTTCAGACTTTTACCAAGCCTTTGTGGTAAAACCTAGGAATTGCCAACACTTTCTGGTAAAAGCTCAAAACGAGAGATTAAAATGGGCTTAATAAACCTGAGCACTTAAATTCCGTTGTGACACATTTCTATTCTTGCTTTTTCTTTGTGCCATTTGCAGTCTAGTTTCGAACGAATTCAAACAAGTCTAAGTGGCTACAATCTAAAATAGAACCAGTTTGTTTCCATTTCAACATATTTTGCATTTTTTATTTTGCTGAAAGGAAATGAGGGATGTTACGCGGAAAATTTTACGACATTTGTCCTGAATCTGAAAAATATAAGCACAATAAACAGTTTTTATTTAGCAAATGAAAAATACACTTTAATAAATGAAGCAAAATGAAGTGTAATAACAGCTTTTATTTAACAAATGGGAAATACACCTCTTAAATAAATGACGTGAAAGAAGCAAAATTTGTGAAGCAAAAAATTTTTTTAAATTTCATACGTAACGCTTATATTGCAGTTGGCCATGGTGAAAGAACTCGTATGATTAAGAAACTGAATCTCAAGTATAAGAATGTGATAGTAGAATCTATCATCATGTATTTGAGACTATGAACTACGTCAGAAAAAACAAAAAACTGTGAAAAAGGGGATTGTAATCAAACCAGTTGTGCATAGTGATGTAAATTCTTGATGCCAAGCTGACCTAACAGATACGCAGCCCAATCCTGATCGTGATATAAAATTTATTTTAGTGTATAAAGATCATCTTACAAAATTTGTTCTACTCCGAAGTCTGCACAGTAAAAGAGCTGATGAAGTAATATACCATCTTCTGGATATTTCTACAGCTTTTGGACCCAGAACATTCTCCATTCTGACAATGGGAGGGAATTTTGCAACCAAATCATAAACAGTTTATGTGAAATGTGGAGTGATATAAAAATAGTTTATGGTAAGTTGAGACACAGTCAATCGCAAGATTTGGTCGAATGGGAAAACATGTTGACAACATGGATGGAAGACTTAAAAGTGGTTGGAAGGATTAAAATTTGTTTAACCAATGAAAAAAAAAATCACATAATGAGGGAATCAAATGTTCACCTCACAAAGCTATGTTTGGTTGTCCTATGAAGCTGGGACTTGCTAACTCAGTTTTTCCAGGTAATTTGATTCATAACGTGGACACTGAAGAGGACTTTGAAAAAATTATAAATATTAATAATGAATGCATGAATAATACAAAAGATGAAGGCACTAATCTTGAATGAACAGTTGATTTAGAATTGCAAAATAAGAATAATAATACATGGGAAAAAGATTTATGCATAACAATGAAAGTAGATATTAAAGTTCAAATTAAAAAAAGAAAAAAGAAAATAACTTGTGCGATTATCAACAAAGTTCAAAATGTGAAAGTGTTTCAAGAGACTGCTAAGGAAGGACTTAAGAAGCAGGCAAAGAAGATGAAGACTGCATCTACTAAAAATTTGGCGAAGCCTAGTCTAGGACAAAATGTTAAAATAAACATACCTGATAGTGATAAATTGAAAATAGATTCAAAATCAGTAATAGACATTATTACAAACATTAAAGATGATGATTCTTACGTTCTTGGTACCAAGTTTGGTAAATTATAATCATTGTATGCAAGAAACCAGGTTACCTTTTGCAAAGAAAATTTTTCAACATTGAAGAAGTTGGTACAGGAGAAATAAGTGTACATGAAGTAGAATAAAACTTTTTTTAATTGGGGGACAAAGGACTCAGAAAATGCAACTGTTCAAAGAAGTGCACTACGAAGATGTGTTTGTGAAAATCAGCTGATATACTTTGTAATTCAAAATGCTATAACAGTCAACCTTGTAACAGATAGTAAGAAGTATTAGATGTATTAAAAAATCATTTTTTCTTATTTTTTAAATTTCATAATTTTTATTATTTTTTCCTGAGCTATCAAGGAGTTTTTTTAACTATTGTCGAAATTATTTAAAAAAATTATTGAAATCTCTTCAGTAATTATGGAGATAATTGTGATATTAACTCAGCTTTTTCACATGGGATCTTATTTGTGAAATGGCATAAATATTGCACTTTTTAAAAATTTTTATTTCTTGTAACTCTGAAAATAATTGTTTCATCGACATGATCTTAAATCTACCTTATTTTGATCACTTTTACAATTTATATTACCAATTAAAAAGTTAAATTTTGTTTTACCTTTTTTGGGACACACTATATACGATATATCTGCGAATGGAAAGTTCTATCATAAGTAGTCCCTTGTTTCGGGCTTTAAGGCTTTGGCAAGTCCTAAGTTTTATCATAAAGGCTTGGTAAAAGTATGAAATGGAATCATATTAAATCATACTTCGGACTTTTACCAAGCCACTTTGATAAAAGCTGGGTTTTACTGGTAAAACTTAGGATTTACCAGACTTTGGGCTTTTACAGTAACATATACATATATATATTTGCATATCTATAAGGGGGAGATTACCTTTATAGAAGTATATATATATATATATGTAGTTAATGGATTTTATTTATAATAATTAGTTTTATTATTATTAATAAAAAGAGGTTAAAGTGGGTAATTTTAAAAAATTTATCACATGAACTGGTAATAATAATTTTCAACTATTAATGGTAAATTTAATAATTTTTAATACATTCAGTTTGAGATTTTTCATTCTATATGTACAGTGTGGCCATCCCAGTTTAAGTAGATGTAAGTTCCTATACACCTGAACTAAATGCGTGTAACGGTGTAAGATGGTAAGGTATTTAAGATTTGAATCTCCCAATCTGATTATTAATAAGGCAACAATGCTTCTCACATAAATTTCAATTTAATTGCTCCATAACTGCCTGGGAAGGAGAATAAAGCCTGTTCATTGACCAGTTCACTGTCTTACCTTTCTGTGCTTAAAGAAGAACAATGTTAAATTCGAGCAACTTCACTTTAGAGGAGTACTTATTGACAAGTATATGGGTTCATGAATGGAATCCATGACAAAAATATGACACAAATAACGGATAAGTTTCAAGAGTGGTTCAGTAAGGAGCCACCAAGTCGTCAGACTTTGATCATATGGGAGAAGAAAGTTTTTCACCAAGGAAGTGTTTTGAATGCTCCCTGCTCTGGCCATCGATCAACCTGAGGAGAAACATGTATTGAAGTCAGTGAATCATTCATTATGCAAGCTAACCAGAAAGCATGCTGCAGAACTTGGAATTAAAAGGAGCACAATACAATTTCACATGGAGGCCTGCAAGCATTCCGGCCAAACGCTATCAGTGAACTAATGGAAGATGATTTCAACCACCAGCAAGAAGCATGCAGTATCCTGTTGGAGGCCTTTCCTACCATTCTTGCTCAGAAATGCATTTTCTGTGATGAATGTGCCATTTTTGGAGTTTACGGGATAGATCTTCATACAGGCATCATAAATAGATAAAAGAAGCTGCACCACTCAGTAGATTTAATAACAATTTGAAAAGATATAATTCAGACTGCTAAAAAATATTTGCACTTTGCACATATTATTAATGTTAGAAAAACTAATTTTGTCATGTTTTAGTTTTATTCATTATAAAACCATTCTATGCATTTTGTTTCTCATACTTGTGAAAATTTATATAAATGTCAGTAAAGGATTTTTAGTGGCGCAAAATTGTGTAATAGCTATATTTATAATTTTTGTCTATGCTTATAAAAGTAAACAAAATGTATATATATATGTTGTGTGTGTGTCTCTGTTTGGTGTACATGTATATACAGGGTTCGTACGGTCTTTAAAAGTCCTTAGGTTTTTCGGGATCTATTTTGGTCCTTAATTTCAGCCAAAATCGGAAGAAGGTTCTTAATTTTAATCATCTGAAATTTCTGTCTGTTTTTATGATTGCCATTTTGAGTGTGAATTAGCATTCTCGAGGAATATTTTTGGCGATTCATTGATGAATATGGTTATCTTTTGAATGGGTTCATGGATTGTAATTTGTTCTGATTTCTAATGTAAATAATGGGATACTTGAGTTTCTAAGCAAGAAGTGAAATATAAGCATCTTGAAATTATTTCATTTTTTCTAACGGAGAGCTGTCACACAACTTTTGCTTTTAAGGATGTGAATTCTTTCAACGGTTCTAAATTTGGCGACTTATCAACATTTTAAGATAAATTTCTAAAGAAAATTTTTAATTCCGAGATCT